CCCATGCCCCTTCTCCCATGCCCCACTCCCCGTCCCTGTCTCTCTAACCCACGGTTAGTCATTCCCTCTTGGACGTTCCCACAACACCATGACCGCCCACCTCATAAAGGTTCATCTCACTGTTCAGTGAAGATCTGTGAGTCCACCCTCCACCAGACTGGGAACCACACAGGGACTGAGGCTGGGTCTGGACTCTCCCTGGATTCCTGCCAAGTGATGAAGCATGGATTCGAACTCGGTTGGTTGAAAGAATACATTCAGACCTGATATCAGAAAAATCTTTAGAGAAATCTTTCTCTTTCTGGTGACACAGCCTCTCCTTCCATTCACCTCCATTTGACACTAAGACTTCTTATAGGAAGCAAAAAACCAAAAGTAACTCATCCTTTAAGATTTGGCTCGAAACCTACTTCTAAAAGGAAATCTCTTGGATTGTCCCCAGCTCATAATGATTTCTTTTAGTGAATTTTTAGAGTCATTAGAGTCTGTATAATTCAGTTGACAATTGCATTCCTCTGTTACTGTCTTCGATGGTTGTTGTTTTTTTTAAGCTCACAGGTTTATATTTTACCTTCCTAAAGGGTGTAAATTCCGTGACTTTAGGGACTATCTGTAAAACGGTAAATCATTTTGTTGGCTCACTTTGTTTGATGTCCCCTGACAAATGGTAGGCTCTTTGAGGCCTGATACTCTCTGGCATTACTTTTTGCAGGGGCGGCACCTGGCATCGTGCTGGCACAGGTTAAGAGCTCAGCAGGACTTTGTTAAATGAAGACCATTGGTAACCCCTTTTAGCCCGGCGCCCTGAACTTACTAGGTCCCCACTAATCATGTTCGCTGACTGGGCATGAAATGGAAAAGCGTACTTCTTATTGTAAGATGTTGCTCATATGAGGCCCGGAAACTCTCAGATTATATCCTATTTCAATTTCTCTTTTTGCTTTTTGTAAATGCTTGATTATCTGGCTCCCAAATTGAATGAGAAGTATCAGCGAAGAATCCCTCCTCCGCTTCCAAAAAGCTCTTGTGTATCAATTTTCTAAAGCTTCCATTGGACTCTGGATTTCGTACCTTCCCGTTATTAAATACAACAAGTCACTCCGGAGGAAAGCCAGTGGTGCAAGCTGGGTTGGTTGGTGCCTGCACACCCACAGTTACACTTATGTGTGATTTCTAAATATAGAGTTAGGTCTGCTGTTTCATTTTTTAATAAAGGAAATAGATACCCTGGTCCCCGCCGCAGAGATGGGGCTCCCCTGCATCCACAGTGAAGCTTGGGGCTCTCCTGCCGACTGATGATACAGAAGGGTTCCCCGCAGATGGCAGGCTGGGTACCCAAAAATAGCCATGTTGCCAAACAGACCATTGGTTCCTATTTTCCTTAGATTCAGTAAAAGGGGCGGGGGAAGGAGAGGGGAACAGAAGGACAAAAGGAGCGTGTGAGCTCACCTGGCCCAGAAAACCTCTGCGCCACCCTGCTGCCCACACTAATCCCCACCCCCATTTTTGGCCCCAAAATGAGGGTGGGTCGCTGCCCAGCCCCACAGATGTCGCTACCTGGGTTCTAATGAGCCACAGTTAGGGTAGCGAGGAGGGAAGGGTTCCAATGTCACCAACGAAGAGGTGCAAAGACAGGCACTCAGCAATGCTGGTTTACAAGCAGATGAGCATAAGGAAGGAAGGCAGAACAGGAAGACAGTGCGTCCCAAGTGTCTGAACTTGGAACCCCGTTGGAGCACTATGCATGTGTCTCAAAGCAACCCCTGGCCGGGGCTGCTTGCAATTCTTCACCGCATGCAAAAGAAAGAGAGAAAAGGCATTTTGTTTGGCCGAGCCACACCCAGCCCTAGTCGCTTGGGCTTCACACCTCTTGGACCTTCTTGGAAATGTAACTGCTGCCCCACTCTGGGATCTGTAGCATCCACAGTGCCATGTCCAGGAAGTTCAAGTTGAAGCTCCCCTGGCTGGAATCTGGGTCTGCAACAAACTCTAGGGGCTAGTCCTTGTCTTCAAAAGGCCACCCAATCACATTTTGCCTCTTAGTACCGAGTGACAGGCAAATGGGTTTTTTAAAATCAGTAGTGACTCAGTTTTCCTCTTTTAATGGTTTCTCAGAAAAGCTGTGAAGGGGATGGATGCTCTCCAAAGAGGCCCAGCAAGGGGAAAGGGGGAAGGGTGCCTGCTTCTGGCCTTGGCTCCTGAGCCTCCGTCCAGCCATGAAAAGAATCACCCACCTGTTATATATCAAAGAAGGTGTCCCTAAACAGAAACACACTTCAAATACAGTTCCAGGAGTTAATGAAAGTGCTGTGATCAGAGAGAGGCTCACAGGAACCAACTGTATTTGGAGCGAAGGTTTAGTGTCCACTAATTCAGTGTTTGTGATGACTTTATGGAATATAACTACTACAAGGAATGAAAGCCAGCTATACTTGCTGGCACAATTTTGACTGTTCAAAATGGTTTTCTATAGTATTTCAAAGCACAGAGACTCCAGGACAGATGAACAACAAAAGGAAGGAAATCATGTGCTTGTGTCTACTGTCTGCCACTTTTTACAGCATATTATATGTCGCTTAGTCCTTGTAATAACTCCATGTGGCTGGTTTTGTCATCCTTTTTATCCAGGTGAGGAAAGTGAATCTTAGAGAGATTAGGCAATTTACCTAAGGTCACATAGCATGGCGGGCAGAATCCTAAAGTGGCCCTAAGATTCTTTCTACTCCCTCCGCCCTTGCCCTGTAGAATCCCTCAAGTGTGAGTGGGATCTGTGGACACGGTAGAGGCATTGGTACAGGTGATGACATTTTGCAGATATAATTAGAGTCCCTAATCAGTTAACTTTTAAGCCTTGATTTTAAGGGAAATGATCCAGGGTGGGCCTGGCCTGATCAGGAAGAGCCCTTTAAAAGAGGTGAGAGTCTCTTTGTGGCCGGCCTTGAAGCAGCAAACCATGTAAGGAAATTAATTCTGCCAATAACCACTTGAACTTGGAAAAGGACGCAAGCCTCAAGTAAGACAGAAGCCCCAGCCAACACCCTGACTCCGGCTGTGTCTAGATTTTTGATCCAGGGAAACTGAGAGATAATATATCAGTGTTGCTTGTGGTAATTACTTAGGCAGCAACAGAAAGCTTATATACACAGCTAAAGAGCTGCAGAGTCAGGATTCAAACACAGGTCCACTCGCCTCCAAAGCGTGTTCTTTATACTGGGTAATACCACATTTGGTTTGTTGCTTGTTGGTTTCCTTGCTTGGTTGGCATGGCAGAAGGTATTAGCAGAAGGGGATATGAAAGACATTCAGACACCATGGCTAAGGTCTAAGCCCTAACACAAAGGGAGTGTCTTCAGCCTTGAATGGTGGCAGCGACAGTGATCATTTAAAAAAGTGGGGAACCTCCAAGTGTTGGGAGATGAAGGATGGGAATGGACAAGCATGTTATCTCCTCTTGCCAGGGAAATAGCTTGTGGGAATTTAGAGGCAGCAATGTTCACATAGAGACAAGCTAAGAACACTGGATCCCTAGTTTTGAATAAGTCACATGAAATTGCCAACATGATTGTTTTTGACACACACAAATGCAATTACATATGCTTCAACAAGTACATGCAAGGACAGGATTTAACCAGCAGTTAGGAAGTGCCAGGTCAGAGACCAGACGCTGGGGAAGAAACCAAGAGCTCTGCAGGGAAGGTCTTCTTGCGTGGGGAGAGAGATGAGTGGAGATAGGTCAAGGCAAGGGTTCAGAGCCAACAGGAGCAGTGTTGGTGATCACATTCACGCCCCAACCATGGGAAATTTTAATTGAAGGCTCTGCACAACTGTGGGAAGGATGAACACCTATAAAACCGAAGCTTAATCTTCAAATATCCAACTTCAACTTAGTAATACCCTGTGCCATGAGTGAGGAAGCACAGGCAGAGTGTTCATGCCTGGGATGGGGTTATACCAATGTAGGACTAATGCAAGGATCATAAATAATACATGCACACACCTAGTGTCATAGTTGGCACTTGGGAAGTACTAAATAGATGGCAATCTTATTACGGGGCACTTAATTTGGTGACAGAAAATTGCCTTGCCTACATAAGATGAAGGCAAGGGTGAGTCATTTCCAAATACAAGGGTAAAAAGGAGATGTAGGAGGCCCTCGTTGGGAAAGCCAGAATAAGGCTGGAAAATATCTAATTCTTTGGTCGGTGAACTTCCTCTTTTGCATGGCATGGGGGAAGGGCAGCACCTTGGACAGCACTACAAAAGTCAGATCACCTGGCCATCAAGAGGGGAGTTCTTCATTTGAAGGAGTCCAGGACCCACAGTCTTGTGGTTTTCATCACAGGGGCCCATAGATGGGACTCCACTCTGGAACAGTAACTGTTCTGTTTAAGCTTCCTGATCAGCAGCAGAATCTGGGGTGGGTAGTGTAGCTTACGGTCGGGGGGGGGGGGGGGGGGGGGCAAGTCAAGTGAGAGAGGCCTTGACATCACCTACATGCCAAGGACCCTCAGGAGCCTGCACTATAATTACTGTAGTTGTACCAGCCCCAGAGTCCCACCGGCAAGTGATTTCACACGTAATTATCCTTTCACTCCTCCTCTCCTTTTATTCTCCTTTTCTCTCCACATTCCTTCTTTCCTTCCCTTCATCTCCCAAACCAACCCCATAAAGTCCACCTCAATATGGAGAGGAATCAACCCCAAGGTCACCTCTCACCCCGGCCTGAGGCTGCTCTCCAAAGAGAGGAGCAGCCTGTCATGTTCCCTGACATCATCAAAGAAATCCCGGATAATGATATTTCCCTCCACCTTCCTCCAGACAAGACTCTTTGACTTTCTATCTTTAGATCAACTGTCTCTTCCTAAAAGCTCACCTTGGGCTCAGAGTGGGAATATAATTACTAATGGGGGAACCTGAGCAAAATTCTGGCCCACATAGGTCAGAATGGATGTGACATGGCCAAGATTCTATTAGTTAATTATTTAACTGATAACTAGCACAATACGCCTGATGAGTGACTTAGACTAGGCACCGTGTTAAATGTTTGACAGTCATTTCTAATCCTCATGTCAACCTCAAGAGGGAGGTACTATTATTATCCACGTTGCATAGATGAGAGAAGTGAAAGGTTAGGTAACCTGCCCCAGCTCCCATCACCAGTAAGTAGCCGTGCTGGGACTCCAACTTGGTCTGTGTGACACCTGGTCTCCTCACTTAATCACTCTGCCCGATTACCCTCCTATATGTATATGGGCTTCTACCCACATTGTTGTTCTTCTGCCTCTGTCACTGGCGATCTCATTGAAGATAAAGCAAAATCCGGTCTTCCAGCTCCCTGATGCTCCTCCTGTGCCCCTACTCACCTGAGTGTCACCCTCTCTACATTACAGTCATGGCTCGCTTGCTCTGAGGCTGTCCTGTCCCAGCCAGGCCTGTCTCACTTTGAAGAAAGAAGAAGGTAACATACCTGTGTTTCACGACAAGCAGGTGACACAGCTGCATCTCAAGGCCAGCTGCAAGGCACCAGGGGACACCGAAGAGAGAGGATCTGGATAAAAGGCGCTTCTGTTGACTCTTAGTCACAAGATGCAACAGACTGAGCCACACAGCGGGGCACTGTTGTCAGTGGCCCAGAGTTTAGCCACTGGAAGGGTGGGAAGGGAGAAATGGGCACGCAGTTCTTCGAGCATCACCTGGAGCCTCTGGGCAGTTATTTAAGAACTACCAGTGGACCAGGACCAAGAAGACTGGAAGACAAAAGAGGAGGCCTTTACAACAGCTATAATGAAGTAAATAAACTGATTTGGGCAAATGGCTTAGAGGAAGTGGCCATTTTTTTCTGGACTCTCATATAATTTACAAGCAGGAATCCAAATGTTAACAGTTATCGTCCATATATAGGCTGTTAAATGAGGTCTGGCCTCCTCTGCCCTGGAAGCTGTGGGTCCGCGTCCTGAGGACACTTAACCCCACTGGCAGTGGGGGGGGGGGGGGCTCTCCTCTGCACCTGTCCTTCGGCCATGAGTGTGAGGTCCCTCACTCACTGAAGTGTAGAGTAGGCATTATGCAGGGCTTGGGTATTAGCTTCCTGCAGCTGCTATGACAAATTACCACAACCCTGGGAGCCTCAAACGATAGAAATGTTCTCTCTCACGCGTCTGAAAGCTACAAGTCTGAAATCAAGGTGTTGGTAGGGCTGAGGCCTTCCTCAGCAGTTCCGAGGGAGAATCGATTCTGTGCTTCTCTCCTACTAGCTTCTGGTGTTTGCTGATGATACTTGGCACCCCCTGGCTTGTAGCTGTAGCCCTCTGCATCTTTGTCCTCTGTTGTCACATGGACTTCTTCCCCATCTGCCTTCACATGGCATCCATAAGGATGCCAGTCGTAGGATCTAGGTTCTGGGGAGACGTGAATTTCGGTAGATTGGCGGGGGGGATTCTTTTCAACCCAGTACATGTTGCCAATGACATTTCTGGCAGACCCCACATAATGGCAAGGGAAGGATCTGGGTTCCTCAGGAGGAGGGCTCAAGATGCAGGCGGAAGGTGGAAGGAGGCGGCCACCCTGAGCAGTCGGTGTCCACATCAGACTGAGGCACTGCCCCATCTAAAACATTTCACAGAAATCAAGCCCAAAGGAGCAAAGAAAGTCACGCACAGAACTAAGGCAATTCCCCCACAGCTCAAAATAGCAGGTGTCCTCCCCCTCAATGTGCAACATTTGAAACATCCAGGTAAAAATGCCAGGTAACTCAATCCACCTAATCCCCTCCCCCCCCCACAACGAGCTACCATGGAAAACAAGCAAATGCCTTCAGTCTCGTTTCCTCTCTCTTCTAACCCCCAGGAGGGCTGGGGGACACCCAGGGGTTCTGACCATGAGAGGAGAATGGTCAGCCCCCTGCTCAGCCAAGAACAATCCTGGACCAGGGGCTCGCAGTAAATCGCAGAGCAGGACGGGATCGACCCCCAGGTCCCCTCCTTTCTGCTGGTGCGGACTCTGCAGAGCTGCATCCAATCTGGGCTAAGCAGATTAGTTCCCTCCCAGGGAATGGTTCTGGGCAGCTGAGCAGGGCAGCTCCCTGCGCAGAGGCAGGGGGCTGTCATTACAAGGCCCGGATAGGACATAATTACATGCGCCCCAGAGGGAGCTCCTAATCGAATTACAGGGTGTTTCCTGAGCAGGAAAGGCAGCTCGTGCTCAGAGGGAGCTGAGCAGTCCAGCAACAGACCCTTGTAGGAGGTGACGCCAGACAGGGGTCGGGCTGTGGAGAAGTTCAGGGACGCCCGAGCCCAGAGTGCCCCGTGGATCTGGCCGAAACTGGGAGAGGAGAGGAAGTGTGCATGAACAGCAGGGGACCCCTGCTCTTCAGGCCTTAGAAGGAAGATCCAGTCCCATGTCCCCCTGGGCTTGCTGCAAACTGGAAGTGGTACAGAGCCAGAGGAGATGCCAGGAATTCATCCTGTTCGTTCATTCATTCATTCATTCGTTCATTCAGTCATTCAACAGACATTTTTTTTGGTGTCTCTATGCTATGATAGGCATGGGGAAGAACTGGCCACTGTTCTGGTCTGAGGACATGGCCTGGCTGAGTACCGTTTACTCCTGGGGCCAACTTGTACTTATATACGGGTGTGCCCCACAAGCCAAGCCAATTGGCCATTCTTCTTTTTATTTTATTTTTTTTGGCCGGGGGCGGGGGGAGGAGGACAAAGGGAGAAGGAGAGAGGGAACCCCAAGCAGGCTCCATGCTGTCAGCACAGAGCCTGATGTGGGGCTTGAACTCACAAACCATGAGATCATGACCTGAGCCGAGATCAGGAGTCGGATAATTAACCACGCTCCAGCCATTCATAATTAATGGTGCTCCAGCCATTCTTCTTAACGAGTCCTTCTGGGGTGACTGCAGGAGAAGTCACTTCTAATACCTCCAAACTGAATCCCAACCAAGGCCGGTGGCAATACCTGTGTGAGGCCACAGCCTGAGGAGGCCCCCTCTTCTACAGAAAACTGGTGTTTTTTTGTTAAAGTTCTTAGTTAAATTCTATTTAGTTAACATACAGTGTTACACTAGTTTCAGGTGTACAACACGGTGCTCCAACACACCCACACATCACCCAGTGCTCATGACAATGCACTCCTTTGTCTCCATCCCCTATTTCCCGAACCCCCACCACCTCCCCTCTGGTGGCCGTCAGTTTGTTCTCTGTAGTTAGGAGTCCGTTTCTTGGTTTATCTCTTTTTCCCCCTTTGCTCATTTGCTTTGTTTCTTCAATTCCACCTACGGAACTCCTTCAACACACTTCTAATCCTGCCAGACTGGGAACTCCCTGAGGACAGGGACTGGGCCCCTTCTCACTGTGCCAACTCACAGGGTGAGCTCACCAAGGTCTGCTGGCTGTACGCTGAGTGCCCGCCTCCTGTCTCCAGCTTCCGCTCTCCGGATGCTTCCAGCCTCACCGGCTGAGCCTCCCATAGGCTCTTGGGAGGGCTGCAGCGGAGCCCCTCCTGCTCCCTTCTATCACCCCTCCCTCTAACCCTTGGTCCTGGACACCCTAAGACACCTGGGGCTCAGAGGAGGGGCCCCTTGATCTGAACACATGGTCCTGTTCCCCAGGCAGCAGGAAAAGCATCATCCGTTGGTAGCTCCTGATGGTGAAGAGGCACAAACGAGAGCCCTCCGTGCACTGGCCTGGGCACGGGTGGGGCTGAGCCAGCGGTCACGGGTGAGGTGTCCAGACTTCTGAGATGGGCGTTAGGAGTTTATTTGGCCTTTGCAGACTTCCCTGAGCCCAGATGCCCCTGAATTACAAGGAAAGCAGCCAACTCTCGCTGTTAAGGAAGGGATGAGGGTGGGGTTGGGGTGGGGGGGGGTGGCAGAGGTGCCCTTAGCCTCTTCCATATGAGGAGAAAACCCACTGCTTTCAGCTTCAGGACCTTATTCTGATGCTAAAATATGGAAAGAATATGAGATTTAGAAACAGAAGATCTAGGCTTAAAAAAATTTTTTTTTAATGTTCATTGTTGAGAGGGAGAGAGAGAGGGCGCGAGCAGAAGTGGGGCAGAGAGAGAGGGAGACACAGAATCTGAAGCAGGCTCCAGGCTCCGAGCTGTCAGCACAGAGCCCGATGCGGGGCTTTACCTCATGAACCATGAGATCATCACCTGAGCTGAAGTTGGATGCTTGACCGACTGAGCCACCCAGGTGCCCCAAGAAGATACTTGCCCTTGCCTTGTTCTAAGGCAAATTACTTCGTATTTCTTAGATTCTGTTACCTAATCTGAAGAAAGTGATAATCTTAACTCTAAAGTATTACAAAATCCTTATTTTTTTATATTTTCAAATAAATACTCAAAGTTTTATGATGTAAGAAAAATAATAACAGTGGTAATATTCGCCCCCCCCCCCAAGTCTGAATAATGGTGAAGCCTAAGTAACCAATGCTATGCCCTTTTCTCCGATATATTCTGATATATTCTCCAGTACCCTGATCTTCCCATGAGGTCACCTTCATCAAAATAACTTTAAACAATGAGTGCCTAATATTTTTAGATCATTTCACATCAGACAGTTACTTTGAAAGTCAGCCCTTGGCTATGGTCATTCTACTCACTTCCCACTCTACCTCCAACCCAGAAAATGTACTTTCCTCCAGCAGTCCACATGGGTTAATTAAAATGTCATGTCTCTTTGCTTTGGCTAGAATTAAATTAACTCATTGTAGTAGCAGGAGTTACCTTTTGCTTTATTTTTGGGGGGGGGGGAAATGAAAATCTAATTAATTTTCAGTGAATCTTCTTCAAAAATTTTTTTAATGTTTTATTTATTTCTAGGAGAGAGAGAGACAGCGTGAGCAGGGGAGGGTCAGAGAGAGAGGGAGTCACAGACTCTGAAACAGGCTCCAGGCTCTGAGCTGGCAGTCAGCACAGAGCCTGACGCGGGGCTCGAACCCCCAAACCGCGAGATCATGACCTAAGCGAAAGTCGGACGCTTAACCGACTAAGCCACCCAGGCGCCCCAATTTTAAGTGAATCTTCTAAAACATGGGTTCCATGAGGAGGGGCAGATAATTAAAATGGCCTGTGACGGGGAGCTGGCTGGGACCCACTGGTGTCGCTGATGAACCCCACTAGCTTAGCAGGGTCTCTGAAAGATTATGGTCTGACAAGGAAATGATCTGCTTCATGTGTCCAATGGGCACTTATGGTTTTACCCAGGGACCAGAAGAAAGTTCCGCATTGTGTAGGACGAAGAAGAGAGTGCTTCCTTAGGCTTGGCTCCATATCAGAGGCGGTGGCAACCTCACCCTAAGGCACCTCACTGAAACGGAGACTCTTGAGTTTCTTTTGCCCCTGAAGGTCCTTCCACGTCTCCTCCCAGGACTGCAGGTGGCGGATAGTTGGCCTTCCCTTCACACAGCCTCAAGGGAGCCCAGACACAGCCTCAGAAATCCTTTCCAAGATGGTCCCCTGGACAATCACTACAAACTGACTACAACTGACCCAAGAGGAATCCTGTCTTACACCCCAGGCCTGTGCCCGGGAACACGGGCAGCTGACAGAGTCACACACTGTGCCATCTGAAGATGGGAATACTCTGGCTTCCGGGGAGTTCCTGGAAACGCATCAAGTGACAGCTCAGAGACAAAGACGGGGGTGCCTGCTCGCTCTGCTGAGCCCAGCTGACCAGCTGTCCGGCAGGGGAGGGGTGGCAAAAGAAAGGCTGTCACTCTGTCCCTGGCGAGCATGGGAAGTAGGAAGGCTGTCTGCCTTGGTCTGGAACACAAGGCGGTCTGGAAACCCAAACCCAGGAGGA